CACACACACACACACACACACACACACACACACACACACACACACACGTATTTGAGTGATGACAGCATAAACATAAGCCATTCTTCCACCAAATCCCCGAGCTAGCTATTGTTGACAGCTTCCTTTTAGAGGTTCAATTTATGAGACTTTACACACAGGCGACTTTCAGACTTTGGCACTCACTTCTATTTAAATATTGAGCCCGGTTTCTGAGCAACCACAGCTAGCCCCTCCCTCTCACTCCCTCCCCCCACCCCCCCAACCTGGCAATTTGCTTTCTAGATGAGCAGGTCAAACAGAGCTCCATCCTGAACAATTAGCACTTGTGGGAAATTTAATGAAAGAAAGACAATTTTGGTAGTCCAAGGACAAAGCAATATAGGGAAACAGGTTTAGAGTTGGAGGACCTTGGAGGGCACGTAGTCCAAATCCTTCTCTTTTTAGATGAGGAAACTGAAGACCAGAGAGGTCAAGTAATTTTCCCTGGTTTCCACACACAAGTAGTTAAGTGACAGGGCCAGGTATTCAAACACAGGTTCAATGACTCCCAATCCAGGATTCTTTGCTCTAAACACTAGTATGGGGTAAGGGAAGACATTCTCTTCTGAAATATTTTTACAAGGGGGAATTCAGCCACTGAGTCATGGAATGTTTGAGTTGGAGGGACCCCAGAGATGATTGAGATCAATCTCATTTTTCAGAGCAGCCCAGAGGCATGGTCAAAGTCACATAACAAGTCAAAAGCTTAACCTTACTCTATAAGTCAGGTTTCTTGACTCCCATTCTAGATTGTTTCCCTTCTATTATGCCACTATGGTTAACCCCAATGGGTCTTTCAATAATAAAAAATAGGAAATTTATACAATCTGATCTTTGATATAAATTAAAATCGAGTTTTTAAAAAAGCTAGGCAGAGTAGGAAACATACAGAAACTATTAACATTGTTATAGAGAGGAGGGTAGAGTTAAAAGCCAGTTAACAAATCTGAATAATAAAAAATATCCATATGTACAATATTTAGAAAAAGGGAAGAGGGCTGCAGCAACCAAGATCACTGGGCTGGTAGGGCAGGGGTCATATGCATGTTGGGGGGAGGGTTCATGGGAGGCCAGCTTTCCTGGGTCTGGAGGAGGCGGTATAGCTGCTTCAAGTGGGCAACAATATTATCTTTGATATCCGGAGTTGAGATCTGCAGGCGGACACTGCCACTATCAAAGGACCGAGTGAAATCGCCAGAAAACATCTCATAGATCATCCTTGCGACCACTGGAATAACCTGCTCAGAAAACAGCAAAACATATCTTTTGAGGAAATGGGCCTTTTAAATGCAAAAATGGGAGGGAAGGGGAGAATTAGTGACAGTGATGCAAGAAAAGAAAGAGCCTTAATGAAACAAAAAATACAGAGAAGACAGCATATAGAAATTTGGAAGGGTATTGTGGCAAGCAGGACAGTTTTGTTATTACAATGTTTAATTCGCTATATACTTTTTAAAAACTTTATGCAAGAGAAGTTCACTATTTCATATATAATCTTTTCTAGACTTTCTTATTGAAATGTCTACTGTTCATTAATATTTAAGTTCATAACAAAATAGAAAATTTTTATTAAAAATGTTTTTTAATTCCAGCAGGAAGGATTTAAAGGAAGAAGAACTTTTTTCCAATAGTAAGGATTAGCGAAGGGCTGGCCTCTCTTATGCAGGTCATCTTCAGGACAGAGAAGATGCTGTCACCTGTCTTAGCTTAAATCAGTGCCATCCTGCCTGGAAATAAAGGACCTTAAGGAAACTTTCAGTTCTAGAAGCCTATCTAATGATGCTAAAGGTCAGAATTAGGCAAGTACCTAATTGATAAAATCACAGCCTATCAACTCCTGGGGATAATCCTGCTACTTATCCTCTGGGATCACCCTCAATATTCCCTGCCCCTTAAAATAATTCAGAAACCTTTCTTTTAAGGTGTCCCATAGTACCAGGGTGCAAGCTCAGAACTCATTAGGTCTTAATAAGCCTGTGTTTACTGCTGATGACTATGAAGCTGGTTCTAAGCAGACTTACTTTCAGATTCCTGCGGTCCAAAGGTTTGACCCTCTGTCTGCAAAGTTGGGTGGGTTACTCCCAAATCTGCTACTATATAGTGGCATTAAACTAGTTAGGATGGCGGGGCTTTTGGGGGCTCTAGCAGGTCCAGTTCAGAAGATTTACTGGAATACCCAAATTGTCTGTCCAGGCTCAGAGTTTGAGAGCAGACCAAAGCAGCCACTCATATTTCCTCACCTGAACAACAATGAGCTTCCTCTCTCGGGGTTTCCCATCAGGCCATTCTTCCCCAAAGCACAAATAGATCTCAAAAGGTGGTTGTTTCTCTATTTGTCCTTTCTGGCGGGCAATGAGTTCTACAGAAGGTGAAATAAAACAAATTCAGCATCTCAGGGAAAAGAAGAGGGGAGGAGCTTTGGGTCCGAATTGATCCAATCTCCCCTTCTTTTCTCTAGAATTGTCCCCTTAAATCACTCACTTGCCTATCTATGTTGAGAGAGAACAGATTTTCTTAATCGAATCAAAAAATAGACCATTCAATTCATTTTTACCACCTAGATCCAAATCCTAAGAATGGAATAAATAGTAGCTCTGGATAACATATTGACAAGGAGGTCATTCTAGCCTACCACCCTCTCTAGCACTGTCAGGGATATCAAAGGAAGCTCAGACACAAGTCAGATCCCAATCACAATTAGGAAGCTGAGTTATCTGGGTGGCTAAGTCACTTTCATTAATCATAATGAGGGTTCCCCCCCTTTTAGAATGTAGGGGTACAAAGCACCAACATTTTTTAGACCTGGATGGAATTAAGGAAAGAGGATTCAGTCCCTTTTTCTCCTTTGGGAGAGGTAGGTTTAGAGGAAGAGGGAAGGACTGATCATATAATGAAATTACATGGGGTGCTCAGCATTCTCCCATGCATTCGTTCACTCATTCACAAACCTCACTCCCCTCAACTCATCTGCTCCCACCATTCTATAGAAGCAGACATTTGATTTAGGAAACCACCAGCTACTTGATCTGGGTGAGATTTAGGAGTTATCAATCAGCCTGTGCTTCTCTCTGGCATTTAAGACAATATATCATCTTTCCGTTTCTCTCTTTCTATTTTTGCCTTTTATCCCTCCATTCGTCTTTATTCTCTACCTCTGACAAAAACTTTCTTCCTAAAGTTTCATGTCCCCAAGCCCCTACTCCTATCCCAACACTCTCAAATTACTGAGCAGAGAAGAAACTTCAGGGACAGAAATCTCTGGTGCCTCTTTGGCTGCTCGGAGAGACTCACCGCTGAGGAAGGTTTCCAGGCAGAATAGCTTGACCTTCTTTTGCCGCTCAATCAAGTTGGGGGCTACAAGTGAAGGGGCACATGGCCCAGACCAGTATACCTTGCACTGGCATAATCTGATGGCATAAATGGCATGGCCACTGACTTCCAAGATCAGTCCCCTGTCCATGACATCCAGCAACCTGCTGGTGAACAGCTTCTGCTTTTCATTTGTGATCTGATCTGGCCCAGGGAACTTCACCTGCTCCAGGCTAACAGGACCGAAAAGCTCCTCCTGGTCTGGCATGGGCCCCAGATCACCATAATAGAGTCGGCAGCCCTGAGGGTTGCTCACCGTTGTCTGCCCTAACTCCTTCCCACGGTATTGGAATTTAATGTCCAAATCAGTCACTGGAAGACAGAGAAGGGATGGTTAGGGAAATGCTACCAGCTGCTCTGCCCCACTGCCAGAGAGACTATGCAAATTCAGCAGGGTCAAGGATTCTATCCCAGGCAGGCTTCATCAAAAGCTTCCCCTTCTCATTCCTCTGAACCATAAACAAAGAAAGGAATTAAAACTATCCTTGGAAATTCACTTCAAAAAGGCTATCTTGTCTGAAAAATCTGATAAATAAATGATTCCAGAGGATCAAAGATGAAGCCTGCCACCTTTCTACTGCCAAAATGAAGAATGAGACATATATTTTTGGACACAGTCAACAGAAGAGTTTGTTTCACTTGATTAGGTATCCTTGTTACAAGGTTTTCTTTTTCTTTTTTCTTCTGTTATTATTCAATTAGGGGCAAGAGGAGTGGGAAAGCAAGGAAAAAAGTAAATGCTTGTTAATTGAAAAATAATAATATTTAAAATAATTTTAAAGGCTATCCTGAAGGAATGAAGCCTTTTAACCCATACCATCTCTGTACAGCGCTCAAATCCTAAAAGCTTAGACCTTGTCTTGCTGGAGCTCTGTCCTGATATCTTTGCCTCATACAGACTGAGTTTTTATTTTTTTAATCAACAGACTTTGACTAGGAAGTTAGTTTATGTAAACTTGAAGAGACTATCTCATTTTAAGCACATTGTAAGACTATGGAGACCAAATTAACAAGGAACACCAAACTGTTTACACATTTGCCCAAGCAGTCATGTAGTTACATACACACATGAGCATCTAACTGCTATATTTTTTTATTAGACCTGTGATGTCATTCTTGTAGGGAACTCCCAGTAAATAAACTCCTTCTACCAATACAAGTAGGCACCTGCTAATCAGTCTTAGAGAGTTGCCTCACGGCACTGAGAGGCTAAGTAATTTTCCTAAAGACACACAGACAGTACTCAGAAAGAGGCAGGACTTTGGCCCAGGTATTCCTCAGAGATAGAGATACTGGTTTTCTTTTTATCCACTATAGAATTTATATCCACTATAGCATTTAAGGCATTTGAGGGTTATGGAAATCAGAGCCCAGTGAGATTCAGCTTGCCCCAGATCATACATATAAAAAAGCAGAATATATTTGGATGTCATCAGACTCCAAATACAATGAATTTTCTGTTCTTCCACACATTAGCAATCCATGGCCAGGATTTAGCTTATACAGCTATACTAGGAACAGATTTCCATCTCACCCACCTCAGGATCTAAGTTTATTAGTAGCATCAACTGAATTCTCCTTGAAATCAACTGAATTCCCTCCTTATTTAGAATATAAATTGTTCCTCTCCTATACACGACCCCAAAACAAAGATAGAGGTTGGGGGGAAGGGAGGAAGGAGAGACAGTGATAGAATTCATTATTTGGGGAGCTGAACTTGACCCAATTCAAAATGAAGTTTTTCTTGTAGATCACAGATCTTCCAAAATCCATGAACATAAACTCCCTAGGTGGATCCAGTCCCTGGCCATTAATAGCCCTGTCTCTGAATGGGCCCTGCCCTCCAATCCTTTAGCTAGCACAGACATGCCCAGGCCTCCTGAGCTACCTACCAGGCAGGTAAGTAACCTGGGACTTTGACCAATGAGAGCACCCACGTCAGCAGGTAAGAATGGCCTGACATTTCTTCAGCATTCTCTATTCCTGGTAAACAGAGCCTTGGTGACTCACCAATCCAAGCTCCAGCCAGCCAAGAGGCCCAGAATTCAGCTACAAAAGATGCCTACAAAGGAGGCCACTCATAGGCACTTGAAAAAGTCAGGAACCTAAGAAGCAGGTGGGGTGGGGAGGTAGACTAAATTATGACCATCCAAGAAGAAGAAGACATTACTTACTTGGGAGAGAGCTGATCCATAATTCTGGAGAACTAAAGAAGTCATGCTGCATGGGAGCTGGGGGTACTTCCATTTCCAGGGGTTCTGTTTTGGGCCACACTGCTTCAGGGCTGCAGTTGCCCACGCTGCAGTTGCCCACACTGGCTGGCGCCATAGGAGAGCCTGGAACAAAGGCAGATGGATGAGCACGCAGGGAGAGAGCGCGCGCGCACATACACACCCACACCCACACACACACATATACACAAAATGGCCTAAGGCTCTAAAAACTGTAAAACAAGCTCATCACTAGACCCATTTATGAGCCTCAATCAACCATGAAAACAAGTGCTGAACCAGCCCGTGGCCTAATGGTAACCGGGCAGGCCTACCAGGAATGGAATTCCTCTGTTCCTCCTTTCTCTCCTGTCTGGGTCTGAGGTTTTCATGGAACTCTGAGGGAGATTCTGAATATGCTTGCTGAAGAAAAACAAGGAGAGTTTGCTAAGCAGTGAGATGGGGAACAGGAGATTTGGGGAGAGGAAGGAAAAACAAATTCAAATTTTACAGCCAAATAGAATTTTTGCAGTTTAATTGGTATGCTCCTATAAAAGGAACTCAAATGAATTAATTAGTAGAATCTAATCAACATCAGTGCAACAAATTCCATTTTCTCCTATTTGCCATGGCAGAATATTTGCTCTCCAAGAGAAGGGATTTCTTTTCCTTCCTCAGTATTCCTGGTCCTCCAGCAATACCCTAGAGCTCTGAAATCCCATAAGTCAGTGCTGCCCTGATAACTGTGTATGCACATATGGTGACATCAATGTATCCAATTTACAGAGAAGAAGCCAATTCCAAGGAGGTTGCATGGTGAGTCAGTCTCTGTCCTGGGAAGGAAATCCAGATCTCCTGAGGCCTAGCTTTCAAGATCTAGGTAGGAACGTAGCATGTGATAAATATTGCCCTGGTCCACCCTAGGTAAGAGACAACCCCCAAAATCTATCCTTCTTATTGCCTAGGTTGCAAAGGTAGCAGTAGTGGTAACATAGACTACAAACTCCTTGTGGGTAGCAACTCTGTCATGTTTGTAGTTATAGCCCATTATCTAGAACAGTGACTGCCACATAGTAGGTAGTTAATAATTCTTGTTGTTTGATTGAAAGTGTAAAAAAAGGAATTGCAAAGGAGGGAAAAGAGGAAGGAGAATCAGGCAGGCAGAGAGAGGGGAAAAGGGAAAGGGAAAAAGGAAGACAAGTTTAGCTCTATCCTATCCTAAGTATGAGGAACTTCCACTGTGCAAGACTGACAACTTGTCTGTAATTTACAATCTTAGAGCCCGGGTTTTTAACCTTTTTGTGCCACAGACCCTTTTGAAAGTCTGGTGAGACCTACAGACCTCTTCTCAGAATAACATTTAAAAATATATAACATAAACTACATAGGATCACAACAGAAACCAATTATATTGGAATATAGTTTTTGAAAATTTTTTTAAAGTTCACACCCTCCAGGTTATAAACAAACCCCTGATCTAAAGGGCCAGTGGCCTTTCTCAGAACAACCTCTTCAGGCTCCTCTGCTAATCCAAGTTTTCCAGGTGGTTTCAGGTATCTCATCTGACCAAGGGGGACACAAAACAGCCACAAGAAAATGATGGTTAAAACTTGCTTAACCGGAACCTACTTTTAAAAAAACAGTTCGATTTGGCCAGGAGCATTTCAGTGCAGAGTAAAGCCTCAGTCCAGCAGACTTGTTTCTGCTAAGCCAAAGGAATGTACAGCAGGAGATTTAGCAGCCTCCCTAGCATCACGCCATTGCATCTGGTTTCCACCAGTCTCTGAACTTACTATGTCTAGAAGGCTGAATCTAAAAAGCGATAGTAGAAGAGAAAAGTCTATAGTATTCAAACATCTAAAGTCATATTGATGTCAGCTGTGGAAGCCTCTCGCTATATCTAAGGCACAAAAATAGAGCGTATGATCTTATCTGTAAGGAAAGAAAATGGGGGAGTCAAATATGAAGCAAAGGAAGTTGTAGTTGGACTTATCCAAGTCTCTGAAACAGGCATTTGAAAACAAGCACCCAACTTCCTCAACTGGGTACAAAACAATCCCCTGGTGCTATTTCAGGTATGTTTTATACCCAAGTAGTAATATTAAAAATAGTTCTTATGAAAAGGAACATTCATGACAATTTGGTATTAATAATAATAATAATAATAATTTTTTAAACTTCACATTTATATAGCATTTTAAGGTTTGCAAAGTAGTTTCCTGATAAGAACCTTCAAGTTAGGGGCCAGGCAGAAAGCACCAAGAGCCCAGAAGAAAGTAATGAATATCAATGCTCCTCAAGTAAATGGATGTGGCTTCACTGGCAAAGGGGCATGGCCTCTTTGATACTCTCTGACTGTTCCCATCACTTACCATTGATGTTCAGGAAAGGAAAGGCATCCTGGATAGGGATATGGGGCTGTGATTGATCTAGCTCATCTTCCTCTTCCTCATCTAGTTCATTATCTTTCTCATCCCATGGAGCAGACCCTGTGGACCCTATCCAAGGGAAAGACACACAAACCCTAAGGATTAGCAGCTCAGATTACATTTTTGTCCCTATGTTTAATTCATTTCCCATCATGACCTGCTCCACCTTAAGGGCAGGCAGCATAGACTTTGGTCTTTGAGATAAAACTTCAAGCCAAGTATATCCCAAGTTAAGTGTGCCAACAATCTTCTCTTTGTTCCCCCTTTATTCTGACTAAGGAGATATCTGAGAGTCATTCTGGCATAATGGATAGAATGCTGAACTTATAATCAAGAAGACCTGAGTTCAAATCCCAACTCTGTCACTGACTATGCAAAATTTGGCAGTCGTTTGCCTCTCTGCGCCTCAGTTTACTCATTTATATAATGACTGAGTTGTATTAGATGACCTCTCAGTCCTTTCCAGTTCTAAAATCTCCTTGATCCTTCCCCCTAATATGGTGTGCAATCATCAATCATACCATATCAGAAAGTCCATAATTCCCACTTTAGCCCTCCTCCTACAGTTCGATAGTTCTTACCTAAAGGGCAACAAACATTTATTAAGCACCTACTATATGTCAAGCACAGTGCTAAGTGCTTGACAAATATTATATCATTTGATCCTCACAACAACCCTGCAAGGTAGGTGCTATCATTATCCCCATGTTGCATTTGAGGAAACTGAGACAAAGAGGTTGCCCTGGGTCACATAGCTAGGTGTCTGCAGCCAGATCAGAATTCAGGTCTTACTCACTCCAAATCCACTGTGCTATCTAGCTTGCCTCTTAGTTTAAAGGCCTCCCTCTCCTTTACCCCATTCCCTCAAAAATAAGCTTTTGAGATAGTGCATTTCTATATGTTTAGTATTGTTTCTGTTCCTGGGGAGCACTTCCTAAGTATTAGATGATGAACACAACATGGGGCATTTAGTAGGAGTATCACAGAAATTAAATTTGGTTCAGAGACCTTGGTCCTTGCTGAGAGTCTTTACATAGCACAATGTTATATATTTCATTATATGAAGGATTAAAGACAGCCTGAACAATAACCTAACATTCTGGTCTGAATGTTACTGTTGAAGATGCCACCATTTCCTCAGTTACCCAAGGTCAAACCTAAGTGTCATCCCCCACTACTCACTCTCTCTCATCCCCCATGTCCAATCTGTTGCCAAGGTCTGTCATTTTTACCTTTCTACCACCTCTCACAAACACCCTCATTCTCTCCTCAGACCCTACCATCAACCTCCTGCAGGCCCTCGTCACCTCACACCTGGAGTATTCGAACAGCCTTTTGGTGGATCTGCCTGCTACAAGTTTCCGCACTCCAGTTCATCCTCTCCTCAACACAATCTTCCTTAAGCACGGTTCTGACCATGTCACTTCCCTACTCAATAAACTCCAATGGCTTCCTATCATCTCCAGGATCAGATATAAAATCTTCTGTTTGGTATTCAAAGTCTTTCATACTCCCCTCAACCCCCTACCTTTCTAGTCTTCTTTATATCCTTCTCTCTCTCTCTCTCTCTCTCTCTCTCCCCCCCCCCCCCCCCCCCCCCACTTACACTGGTCTCACTGCTGTTTTTCATACAAGACACCTAGTCTCCCAATGCTTGGCATTTTCTGTGACGGTCCCTAGTGCCTGGAATGCTCTTCCTCATCATTTCCATTTCCTGGCTTCCTTCAAATCCCAGCTAAATGAACACCATTTTTGTCCTTTTAAGTTACCATATTTATCCCCCCTCCAATGGTGGTCTTTCCTGAGCCCCCTTAATTCTAGCACCTTTCCTCTGTGGATTATCTCCAATTTATTCTGAATATAGTTTGTTTGGGGCAGCTAGGTGGCACAGTGAATAGAGCACCGGCCCTGGAGTCAGGAAGACCTGAGTTCAAATCCAGCCTCAAACCAAACACTTGACATTTCCTAGCTGTGTGACCCTGGATAAGTTGCTTAACCCCAATTGCCTAAAAATTAAAAAAAAAAAATGAATATAGTTTGTTTGTACATAATTGTTGAAATGTTGTCTCTCCCATTAAACTGTGAACTTCTTGAGGGCAGAGACTGTCTTTTTCTATCCCTAGCCCTTAGCACAGTACCTAGCACATAATAATAACAAATAATAATAAATATAATAAAAATAAATTTTTCCTGACTTAATAGAAGTCACGTATTTCCCCACTCCATCTTCAATTTAGCTTGCATTAAACCTACATGCAGCCTGTAATCTGTGTAATTTTTCAGATCTAGATTTTTTTTCTTTAAAAGATCTCATTTTAATTAGAGAAATGCCCTCTATTTAGACAATACAATATCTTCCTACCCCACCCCTCCTACCTCTAATCACCTAGAGTAATGGCCATTTGCTTCTTTTGTTTCCTGAGTCCCTCCGAGGAAAAAAAAGTTTTTGTACTTGAACAACCATTAGACATAAGCTACTATCTCTTTAAGAGTCCGTTCTAGTCCTTGGCACGCTGCCCACCTTCTCCCAAGGCAACTGGGGCCTCACCTGGGTTAATAATTGAACCCTGGGGCTGGGGGATATCACAGACTTCATATATCTTCACTGGGTTCATGGGCACCTCCTTGGTGCCATCATACATCAGGTTGAACTCCCGGCTCTTGTTTAGCGCACATCGGAGTTGGGCCTTCCATTTGGCTGGGTCGGGGTCATCAACTCCTTCTTGGTATTTCCCAGTTTCCACAGCCCAGGCCTGGTAAAGGTGGAACAGATAAAAGCAGTGAGATCATACTGCTGTCCAGAATCATCTGAAAGGCCGTATCTCTCACTAGCACACTCATCCAAACTGCCTCCCCACTTCCCTACCATCGTAGTCATAGAAGCCAAAGTTGCAGTAGGAAACCTCACAGTTTGTACCATCCTGAGGCCCATAAGAACAGACAGCATGGGCAAATACAATCACATTGAAAGTAAAAAATACATCCTAGAGCTCTGGTGCTGTCCTCTTTTAGTCTTTGGTTCAAATTAAAGGAAAAAAAAAGACTGGCAGATGAACTAGTAGTATGTTTTTATTGCTCCATTCTCTTTGCTTTTCAGTCCCACAATGTAAATAAAGGGCTGTCATAACCAAGTGGCTGAAGTCTAAAAACCTTCAGGAAGTGAGGAAACAAACATATTCCCTGGGATTCTAGTGCCCAGTCACCCACTCCTGGCCCCTACTGCTGAGGGCCGTGCATCTTAAAGATCTGTCTTGCCCTGGTTCCCAATTTCCCAACCTTTCACCCGTAAAATGAAGGGGTTAGACCGAAAGGCCTCTGAGATTCGTTCAAGCTCTACATCTATGAGCCAATGGTCTTGTCCAAGTCTTTGGCACATAAGCTCCTTGAGGTCATGTGACCTTTTATCACCAGTGTCGACACAATGCCCGGCACATAGCAAGAGCTTAATAAATACTTGCTGAATTTTTAGACATGACCAATGCGGGGATTTGTTTTGCTTGACTAGGCATATTTGTTACAAGGCTTCTGTTCTTCTCCTTTTGTTTCAGCGGGCACAGGGGTGAGAAGAACAACAACAACAAAAAATCCTTGTCAATTTTTTTAAAAATTAAAGTTATAGCAAAGAAGATTATATATGTGTGTATATATATATGTATACTTGTGTGTGTGAATACACACACACATATACACACACACTCCTAACCCCAAATAAATGTTTGTTGCCCAATTATCAGCTTAGAGCAGTCCTATCTGCTCCAAAGTCTATAGCTAGCTTCCCTTGAGAAAGCTCAGCCGGTCCTTAATAGCATGTATTTGATTATGAACATTCCAGGTACATCTCCCCAGCAAGCTGGGAAAGGGAAAGACAGAGAACACCCCAGAGCAGAATTCCATCATCCCCAGTCACAGACCAAGCCTGTGAAAGAAGAAATAGAGATGGGAACCGAGATTCCTTCTGGTATACTAGCTAGTATATTTACTTTTTCCATAACATGTCCCTTCTCTCCCCATTACCAAAACCTCAAGTTTTCTCCAGGAATATTCCATTTTCAGTCAAATTCAAAATAACTAATCATTTGACAAAAACATTGTACTATGGAATATACAATCAAAATATGAGCCTCGTGCTAGCAGGGTGGTACTGCTTCTGCTCGATTGATATTTACTTCTGTGTGTCCACTAACTTGGATCCACGGAGATTCTGGAGTGATGGGCAGGGGATGGCAGGGGATGGCAGTTGTAGCTGCACACACGGATGTGGGAAGAGAAGAATGAGGAGACTGGACATGAACAGGAAGAGATCTCCAGGGATCATCTTGTCCTGCGCCTCTGGTTTAGAAAGGTCTGCCTCTTTTCTGGCCCAGAATAATGATTCTCTGTCATATTCTTGAAGGGAGGGAAAGGAGAGGGAAGGAGATACTCAGTCACCCTAATCCAGATGTCTAACATCCAGGAAGTTCTTAGATAATCTAAGCATCTTCTTCATCAATTAGGAATAGCTGAACAAATTCTGGCGTATGAATGCGATAGAATAGCATTGCTCTGTAAGAAATGATGAAGGAAGAAATCTAGGAATTGTTGTATGAACTGATGCCAAGTGAAGTGAGCAACACCAAGAAAACAATCTATATAATAACCACAATATTGTAAAGACAAACAACACTGAGTAAATTAAGAACTCTGATCAATAAAATTGATTAACTACAATTCCAGGCAGGGTGGTGCAGTGGCTGCAGTGCTGGGCCCAAAGTCAGTAAGATCTGAGTTCAAATTTGCCCTCAGATATTTCTTAGCTGTGTGAGCCTGGGCAAGTCGCCTGACCTGTTTGCCTCAATTTCCTCATCTGTAAAATAGGGATAATAATAACACCCATCTCCCAGGGTTGTTATGAGGAACAAATAAGATATGTAAATATCTTATGTAATATATGTAAATATCTTATGTAATATATGTAAAACATTTAGCACAGTGCCTGGGACATAGCAGGCATTACATAAATGTTAGCTATTATTATTAATTCTAAAGTATCCATGATAAATCATGCTACCCAACTCCTGACAGGTGTTGGAGTCAGGGTACACATAGATAGATAGAAAGTTAGAGAGGCAGATACCCACACACATATACATATATAAATATATATGTAGATGTATTTATACATAATATATTGTGTATTTATAATATTAAATATTTATATACAATATATCAGGGTACTCTAGAATTAATCATATAATATTATAGCTTTTATATACATATACACACACACAAACTCTATATGTCTGTATTTGGACATGGGCAATGCAAGAATTTTTTTTTTTTTTGCTTTATTGCATCTTTTAAAAAAGACTTTGTTTTTCTTCTTTGTTTTAAGGGGGAGGAGGTGGGAGGGAGGGAAAGAAAACAGATTTTTGCTAACTTTTTAAAAATTAAACTGAAACCCTAAAAAGTCATCTAAAACCTTCTACTGAAGTTTGGGACCATCTCCTCATTCTACATTCAGGTACCATCTTCTAAACTCAGAAGTGCTGTAAGCTCTACCAGACTGTCAAACTACTCCATTCTCTGCCACGAGAGACAGATTGAGGAGTCCACTTCCTGTTCTCCATTTCCCCATTTTCCTAAGCCTCTGTAGATGCCTAACTACTATGACTCAGTGAGAACTGTGGAATGGGCAAGTTGGTCAGAGGAGATACAACTTTTCCCAGCCTCCCCACATAGCTACCTGTTTTATCTCTGACCCCAACTCCTACCATGGCCACTGAAGTCTACTGTCCAAAGTTTGTAGATTTTGGAACAGATTGTGGGAATTTCAGTGAGTGGCTTGGATCCTTTATTGGGAGCTGCCAGACATTAACCCCAAAAACCCAGCACCAGCCTTCCTGTTCATATCCAGTGTCCTGATCCTTTTCTTCCCATATCCATGTTCACAGCTGCTACTACCATAACATTCCAGAGCCTCCAAGGATCCAAGTACACAGGAGTAAATAATAAATCTAGCAGAACCAGTACCATCCAAATCACTTCACCTCTTGAGCTCTCAGTTTCCCCATCTGTAAATGAGAAGGTTAGACAAGACGTTCTCAAAAGTTCCTTCTACCTCCAAGACTATGATCCCAAAATGGTTAGAGTATTTAGAGTAGAAGTCCTCAACTTGCCATAATATGGCCTCAGTTTTTTGGTATAAAATGAAGAAACATCTTTACCCCTCCAAACCTCACAGGGATATGAGAAACAGGAGATAATAGAGGTGAGCTTTCATTCATTTCCTACTCCAATGCCTTTTCATGACTCTAAGTTCGCAAAGGCTATGTCAACAGAGTAGAGGGCAAGCTGTGGCAGGTCCTAACCAAGCTAGAAAGACTATGAATATGTCCCTAGTAACAGACTATGAACTTACCATCAGAAGACCAGTCTAGCTAAGTTAGAAAGGGTTGACTGTCAGATGATATGGAGGAACCACAGAAATGCATGATGACAATCCACTAAAGGTATTAAGAAATGAAGACTAAAGTATGGAGGATTGATAATCTTGATTAGTAGAGAGAACACCCACACCAACAAAATCATGGAACTTTTAATGCATGTAATGGAGATAAAAGCACTCAGGGCAATTTGGACATAGGATGCCAAGGACATCTCCCATAAATAAATCCAAAGTCTCACTCCTCCTGGACTTAATGGTATCTGATATCTTTTTCTGCTTCTGAGAGTGGAAACCAGAGACACAATTACAGCCTTCCAAATGTTCGGGGAGCCTGGTACCCTGAAGAAAGAACCCATTCCAAGAGACAAGTATCATCCTGCTATACGTGTCTCCCCAAGTTTCCCCCACATAGAGTGCACAAAGGTACATGAAGACAAACGTGGTAGAAAGGGCCTCCTTTCTACCACCCAGCACACAACAAAGTCTAAATTCTGACAAAGAGAGACCATTCATTGTGTGGGTCTCCTCAAAACCAATCCGTTCCTACCCATGGCCTGACAGTCAGAAAATAACCCAGATATGGAACAAATCTACAGAGAAAAAAAATGTAGCTGGAATAAAGTCAGGAGTATGGGAAAGAGAGGAGGGGGGAAAAGAGCACATTATAAAAAAGTCACACTGCCTCATACCTAAAGCTATGCATTATCATTTGCACATCACTATTTAACAGATGTATTAGCAAAGGTATTCCCTACTGTATAAACACCTTTCCCTCCAATAACTTACAGCTTCACTCTTGTTTTCTTTCCTTATTTTCACTCTGACCGAGCTAGGCTGGGCCAGGTTGACTCAGTTCATTTAAAAATAAAAATGAGGTTGATCTTCCTTAGTATGTATTCTTAGACCTTATGTGGGGGGTAGGAATGGGAAGAGAAAGGGTTCAATAGTCCTATAATTTCATCTGTATAAGGAACTTCATAAGTGGGACACAGAGGTTAAATGTCTTGCCCACAGTCACACAGTTATCATGGGTCAAATCCAGGTCTTTCTGGCAAGCCCTCTATCTACCACACTGCCTTTTACCCTCAGACTATTCTTTCCAAGTACACAGGAGTAAATATAAATCTAGCAGAACCAGTACCATCCAAATCACTTCACCTCTTGAGCTCTCAGTTTCCCCATCTGTAAATGAGAAGGTTGGACAAGACGTCCTCAAAAGTTCCTTTTCTCTTAGTTCCTTTGCTGTTGCCCTCTCTAGCTCTCTTCTCCCTCACCTTTCTTTCCCCTGTTCTGGGAATACCTTTCCCCTAACTCAACTTTTACAGAAACCTAAGGAACCCATTGTAGAGGACCCAATGTAGCTCTGACTTTAAACAAGTTGGCTTTAAATAGAAGGTAGCATCATATACTTCTGCTTACCTCGGTCCCTACTGCACCTCAGGATACAGTGAATGGAAAAGCTAACATATATTCCCACGTTTACAGTATTTCTCTAGAAGCTATCTGACCTAATGTTGAAAAATCTAATCATAGGCAACCCCAATGGAGGACAGACCAAAAGGTGGGTTTATTTAGTAGTTGATCTGGAAAGAATCATCACTAATGCTAAGGAAAAAAAAAAAAACTATTCTAGTTTCAAAGGTTTGGGGTCAGGGGGAGAGTGGTTAAAAAAGAAAATTTGAGTTCCTTACAGATAGAATAATATAGACCTACAGGAAATAATCCTAAGTCATTCAGAAACAAGTCAAGCCTGACTCATCAGTCTAGACAGATCTTGACCCCCTTTCTTTGGTGGTGAGATCTGGATACTTCTGATCACTGAGAATTAATAACCAGCTTTGGCTACACAGACACACACACATTCAGTCTTCTGGTGTTATCCTGTGCCTGTTAATGTTGGACATAATACATACACACTGGTATGTTTTCACAAACCCAGAAAAAGTTTTTTATTTTAAGACAGACTTGATGACAAAATGAAAGAAATGGAGAAGTCTAAAGGGGTTTAAATGTTTTTACCTTGAAGATAGTATTCTCCTCCTCGTGTTGAGGGCTATGTCGAGTTGCATGTTTCCAGGGAATCTGGAAGCGTTTAGATTCCCTGTGTAGCCAGACAAGACCAGGGTACATGCCACTGTCCACTTGGGCCACCAGCCAGGGCTTCAGCCGGACTCTTCGGGGTTGGAGAGCCATGATCTGGTTTGAAGTAGAGGGAAAAAAACAAACCATGAAAATTAGGCCAGTCACTGGGAGCTGGTCCCAGCCACTATTCACTCATGATAGATAGAGCTGCAATTTCATCAGATTAAGGTACAGAAACCAAATATGGGAATAAACCACACCAGGTGGGAAAGAAAAGAAAAGAGGTTAAAGGTTTTTTTTGATTCTTATTCCAAAGCCATTTACACTTCATGTGCTAGCCAAATCAGACTTATCATGCAAGCAGATCACATTTCTGCTTCTATTTAAATCCTGCCACAGAAAAATAAAAGGTGATGTCATCCCTGCTGGAACACAGAAGGCCTTCCTGAAGCACCTACAACAAGTGGAAGCGAGGCTGCTGCTTGACAATCTCACCTCAGAACAGGGGAAAGAAAGGTGGGGGAGAAGAGAGGTAGAAAGGGCAGCAGCAAGAGAACTAAGAGAAAAAAAAACATTTAAGAAAATAAATGGGCCACAGCAGGTGAGGATGGGAAGAGGAAGAACAGGAGAGAACACTAGGTTCCAGAGTCCTCACTTATAGTATTCAGTGTGCCCACAGGAATTCAGCAGTCCCAGGGCTACAGTCTGGTTCCCTTCATCTTAGCTGCCCGTGAATGCCATGCCAGGAATAATAATAGCTGACATTTATATAGCATTTTAAAGTTTACAAATCACTTTCTATACATTATCTCATTTGAGCCTTATAATAATCCCTGAAAATAAGGAGTACAAGTTTTATCTTCAATTGACAGATGAAGGAAACTAAGGTTAAATGATTTTGCATGAGGTCACCTAACTAATGGCAGTTCAATTCAATTTAACAAGCATTTTTAAGGGCCTACTACCTGTCAAGCATGGTTAGGCTCTGAAGATGCAAAAACAAAAACAAAATCAACAATATGCAGCTGAGCCTTCAAATCCAAATTTCTCCTGACTCCATATCTGGAGCTTATCTCTCCCAAGACCATATCTGTCCTGAGAAAAAAGTCACAGCAACAGGACCAATATGATTCACAAAGAACCACTATGAAGGATCCTGTTCTTTGCCCAACAGAGGAAGAGTACTGGAAAGTTGGAAAGCAGATAAAAACCCAGTTTTTTTGTCTACCAGCTGAGACAAAGGCAAAGAACAGCGACCATTAAACAACACATTTGCCAAACCCAAGAGAACTAGCAAAAGTCACTCACACACTGAGTCATCCCATACCTTCCTAACCTAAGTAGGCCGAGATAGGTAGAGCCACAGCATCTTCGAGAACTGAAACCAGCTGGGCTGCAGCAGCAAGGCAGGGTAAAGTCTACAATCGATTCTCAAAAAAATTTATTGGCACACTACATAACAGCAGGACAACCAGAGTCAACAACAGGAAATAGACAGGTCTAAGTCAGATGGTCATGGACGAAAAAGCAGAGTTAGAATAATTTTTGATGCATTATTGTTGTTTGTATTATTGAGGGATGGTGGGGGGAGGTGTGATAATTTTAACCCAGGCATAAAATCATGGAGTTTAACCTGATTTTACAGATGAGGAACTGAAGCTCACAGAGGTTAAATGACTTGCACAGTGTGGAATATTGTATATATTATCAGAAATATTATATGCGCTAGCTGGTTTTGCTGAACTGTTCCCTCCGCCACCACCACCCCTGGCTTTTTTTTTCTTTCTTTCTTTTTCTTTTTTTTTTTTTTTTGGAGGGAATTGGACCCCTTTCTCTTTAAATATTTGTTACAAGAGATGACTCAATGGGGAAAGGAGATAAGGAGGAATATAGTCAGAAACAAACAAACTTTTGTTGTAAAAACAAAAGACATTAAAAATGTCTTTGGCAAAACCACCTTCTGACTCCAGGTTCAGCAGTTTCCTCTGTACCTGCTGGCATCTCCTCTAGTGGTTCCATCTCAAGTTCCCAACCTCTGGTGGACGCAGTTCTGCCCACAACAGACCCAGGAAGAGGAGGAGGAGGAGGAGATGGGGGAGGAAAAGAACTAGTCATCCTCACACCCAGAAAGATTCCCTGAATCAGTCAGAAACCAAACTGGCTGACTCAGCACAAGGCACCCACTCAAGAGGAGCTCTGCACAAAACAAGACCAGTAGGGTCCCAGACTCTACTACCAACTCATTTCCCCATAATACCCAGAGGAAACTAGTCCAATTCAGCCATTATGGTCACTTTAAAAAACAGGCGCCAGGCAGAACAGAGCCAGTACTCATCATGAACCTTCTGACCCAGTTACCAAGTCTTGTAACTGGAACCTTTTAAATGAGTGATAGGATAACTCAAAGCATTAACTTAAGGGAGTGAAGAAAATATTTAACTCCAAAGTGTCCCTTTCCCCAGGAATCCTGGTTTTGGGGCCTGGGAATATGAGCAGGAGGGTGAGGAGGGAGAAATGGTCAAACTAGGTGATTCACAAGATTTAGATGAAGAAGGTACCAACGATCTAGTCCAACCTATTCAGTTTATGAATGAGAAAATTGAGGGGAAACTCAGAGAGGCTAAGATCACCCAAGGAATAAGTAGCCTAACCAACTCAAACTCAAGCCTTCAGACTCCAAACCCCATTGCTTTAAAGGACTCCAAAAATGTAAATTTCCACAAGGTGTGGAAATAATCTTTTTTCATAATCAGCTGTGTTATCCGCACATAGATGCAGATAGGGAAAATGGCCAGGCTGGGTTGGAGAAAGTTTTTCAACAATTCTTTTTGTAATACTGGCAGATCTTGTTTCTGAGCCTGAAATATACATGGCATCTATCTCCTGACCATCAACTTTCAAGAAAAGGAACTAATCTACAGTCTGTTAAGTAAAGACCATTGGGCCCAGAGAACAAGCTTCAGTGTGTTAGTTGGAGGGGAGAAGGGGGAAAGGGAGATAGAACCAGCTGCCCATGAAGATCAGTGCTCAAGATCAGGAGCCCCATGTTCCTGCATTCAACCAAGGAAGAGAATACACACTCAACCTCCCTTCCGGGGGTCATGGTAAAGGCTCCTCTAGGGATAACAGCCTGTACCAATATCTCCCTACCTTGAAGATCAAAGCCTCTATGTGTTGACTTACAACTCCCTTCAAAGCACACCCACCCCAAACAGCCCACCTCTTCCAGGAAGCTGCATAAATTTTCTGCATCAGCCAAACACAAGTCACTTCAACTAAGGACCACAACTACTACAAAAGGAAATGTACATGGGAGAAATTCAGGGGTGAACAAGCTAAAAACAAACCCCTCTCTTCCTGAATCACTTTCCTCTTCAACCTTCTTGTCCATGTCATTTAATAAATAAGGCCTAGTCAGCAGAGTACGGCAAGGATCCCAATATTGGGAAAGGAAAGGGAAAGAAAAATTAAGAGAGGAGATGATCATATCTCATTCAAACACACCCTTCACAGAAGGCTATCATGCAAGAATTCAATTCCAAAGTACCTCAGCCCCAGAATTTTAAAGCCTGGGTAGAGTCACCTATCCCAGATAGATGAGCCCTGGAGCTTAATATCTCCTGCTGCTGAAATGTAGGCAGGCACTGAAATCAATTTAAGAAACCACAAGATGGTAGATTCTGAGTGTAAGAAACCTTAGAGGTCACCTGGTCTAATCCCTTTCTTTTACCAGATAAGGAAACTGAGGTCCAGGGGGAATCAAGTGTCTTAACCAAGATCAAGGTCACTCAGGCAGTAAATGACAAAGCTGGAATTTGAACTCAGGTCCTTAGACGTCCCAGCATTCTCTGCACTGCCCCACAATGCAAAGAGATATCCCCAAAGTGGGCACCCAAAGGCATCCATTTTACCACTCTAGTCAAGCTCCCCTTGACGCTGCCTACACAACTATCAGAATTTCTTCATATCTATTTCACAAAACCTCCTCCACCTTCATCAAGACTAGCTCTTAGAGAGGCTGCTCCTAAGGCCAAGTCTCCACAGAGAATTGAAAGAAATTGTCTGGATGAAGACAGATTTTTCTCTGCATAAAATTTATTTATCTGTCCTGTTTACCTGGGGTCCTTTAGCAAGGAGACCTCCTGATCCCGTACTGATTCACAAGATCATTGCTTCACTTCGTTCAACTCTTCCCTCTTCTCCAAAGTAAGCCTTGGACTCCAAAACCACACAGCTCTGGGGTGAAAGTGGAAGGTATGGAGGAGATGGGGTAAAATCATCCAGGAGTGGGTCCTCCAGCATGTACCAGTACACCTCTTCTTCACAGCACCCACCCCAAAGGCACAGGACAGAAGGGGGGAGGAATTCATTCCCTTTTTCACCAGAGGCAGATAACAGTAAGATTGTGTACCGCCTTTCTCTCCTCTGACATTGCCACCGGGCTAGCTTAGACCCTCATCAATTTCTGCCCTGATTATTGCAATAGCCTGCTGGTGGGTCTGCCTGCTTCAAGTTTCTCCCCACTCCACTTTATTTTCCATTGTGCCAATGAAAGTGATTAAAGCTCCAACCATATCATGCCCCCCTCCCACCCCAACTCAGTAAACTCTAATGGCTTCCTATTGCCTCCAAGAGCAAATACAAAATATTCTGTTTGGTATTCAAAGCCTTTTATAACCTACCCCTTCTATCTTTCCACTCTTCTTATACCTTACTCCTCAGCACAATACTCTTTGATCCAATGACACTGGCCTCCTGGCTGTCCCATGAAAAATCCATCTCTCAGCTCCAGGCATTTTTCTCTGGCTGTCCCTCATACCTGGAACACTCTCCCTCCTCAATTCTGACTACCGACCCTCCCCCAAATAAAATCCCACCTTCTACAGGAAGCCTTCTCCCTCTTCACTCCAGTGTCTTCCCTCTATTTAGCTTGTAGATGAGAATATATATGTGTCCACATATGTGCATATATGTGTGGCTATATATGTACATACACATATGTTTACATGTTGTCTGCCCCATTAGATTGTAAGTTCTTTGAGGGCAGGGATTGTCTTTTTGTATCTCCATCTGCTCAGTGCTCAGTATACTGTTTGGCACATAGCAGGCACTTAAAAAATGTTTATTGATTGAATATTCCTTATGGATCTCTATGTTCCCTCCCCACTTCTCATACTTTCCCAGTATACATAAAGAAAAGTGCCACACCTCCCCTCCCAATCCCCAACTCCCCTCAAAAAAAAAAAAGCACCACACCCGGCCAACTCAGCCTCTCCCTCTGTGGCACCTGGTTTGGCCACTGGAGCCTGTCTGTGGGTGTTTCCCAGGCCCAAGGCAAGGGACCAGGGAATGTCAAAACAACAGAAAGGGAAATAACCTGTCAGTAGACCTCTTTACTCCAAATCTCCCATATCCCCAGCATACCTTAGAGAAGCAGCTTCGGAAACCCCTCTCCTCAAAGCAAGGAGCCCAGCTACGCAGCAAGTACAAGAGAGAGCCCCTTGGCTGTACTAGGTGAGGGGCCCGGGAGTGGGAGAGAGGGCATACCCCATTTCAGCGAGGAGAGAGATGGCTCCCTCTCTGGCTCTGGGACCGGCCCACTTCTGCCTGGACTACAAGAGTGAGCATTTAACCCTAGAAGTGAACACCTACCCCAAACTAGTCCCCGCCGCGAGTTTGTGCACCCCACCCCCACCTCACTGCACTCACCAACTCTTGGGGGACCGGTGTTTCCCTCTTTCCTCAACCTTGTGCCCCTGAAGCGGACGTCCCCGTTCCTCCTCTGACCAGCCTCAAGAACTGACTAGCCCCCTAAACAGAATTCAGCTGCGCTCACCCGCCACCAGGCCGACCGAGGAGACTGGTGGCTGACTCTGTCCGGGCGGGGACTACAGGTTCCGCTCCCAGTCCCACACCAGCCTTTACCTGCCCAGCCCAGGTGCGCGGAGCTCACGTCACCGCCGCTGTCCCTCCCCGCCCCCTCCCCGCAGCCCGGTGTCCTAGGCCCCGCCCCCGGACGCTGGGATTGGCTACGCCGCCAGGAATGTGATACTTCGCGTTCCACCGCGGTCCTTTTCCGTCCCTTCCGCTCCGATCTGCCTGCGGCGGAGGAAAGTCCCAAAGTTGGGGTCCCTTGCTGTGAACGACGGAGTGGTGGTCTTGTAACGTGGAAGGGTCCACCTCACCGAGGCTCGTCTGCATTGTATCTATCCCCTAAAGTTCAACAGTTCCTCGTTGGTATTTAAGACAGGCTTAATTAAGAACAAGTGCTTTAAGTCTTTGGGAGGGGCAGGGCCCCAAGGTCCAGCCCCTTTGGACCACCTCAAATCAAAATCTGCAACTTAAAACTTCCCGGCTTAACCTAACAACGCACGAGGTCCTTTTCGAATCGGGGACTTAACCCCAATTTCTGCGTTTCAAACTCTATGGGGATAATAAGCCCACAGGGTGAGGACACTAGAGGAAATGGTCATTAACTTTAGGACAGAGGGTGTGGCAACTAGTAACGCTGGCCCTTGGGGGATTGTTTAAAGTGAAGGTTGTTAAAGACAGAGGCTTAATTCTTTCTTCTGGACCCTGTTTTAGGCCACTGCCTGGTGAAGCCAGGAAAACGTAGCAAGCCTCGGTTCAATTCATCAAGCATTTATTGACCACTTACTACATATGCACAAGTCACTATGCTAGGCGCTGGAGATAATACGATGTGGTCAAGGCCGGACCTCGCAAGCCTCTTTCTCCAATTAGATAGAGAGAAGATAGAAAAATCATTTATTAAACACTTTCTATATGCTAAACACTGTGCTAAGTGAAAGGGATACAAACGCAAGCAAGACAGTCCCTGACCTGAAAAAGCTTGCATTCTAATATAGGAAGACATCACATAAAGGTGAGCTAGAGGGGGGCCGGGGTGGGCGGGATACCTGGGGGGGTATTAGTGTGGAAGATGAGACAAAAGCTAATCTATCCAAGCCGAGGAACCCTGCTCAGAGTACAGGTTAAGGGTAGAGAATTTAGAGTAGATAGAAGTGGACATTATTTTGGGAAGCAGGATCACTATTTTCTCTTCTCTGTGTCTGTTGACTTTACTGAACTGTAGGATTAAACCTGGAACGGACCTTAGAGATCATTTAGTTCAAACCTCTCCTTTTACAGTTAAGAAATGGAGGCCCAAAGCAATCAGGTGACTTGCCCCATGGACACACAAGTCAGAAGGAGCAGATGTGGTATTTGAACCCAGATCCTGTGGTCTTTCCAACGCAGCCTTCTGCCTTAGCCCAGTGCTGAGGTCTCAGAACCAATGAAAACACTCACCTATGTGATATCATTCTAGAAAGTCAGATGATCCTTCACTTTACTCACACATCGAAATTGCCGCAAGTCACAACTATAAAGATCTGTGATGTCATTGAAGTCGGTTCTCCTCCCACTCATGCAAATGGAAATACCTTCCCCAGCTTATAGACCAGCCTGTCTTCCTAAGTAGTCATAACTAAAAAACCAATCATCTCCTGGTATCATCATCATCTCAAGAGATGAGCCTCTCCAGACTTGGGGGTGACAGGCATACAACCAGAGAGTCCTTGCTCAAAGATAACCAATCTCAATGGACCTGCTAAGAGCTTAGCTTTGTTGTCATAACCCTTGGGAACATAGCATCACTGAATATTAGAGGACAGCTCTGGACAAGGAATCAAGAGAGACCTGGGTTCAAATGTTACCTCTGGCACATTAGCTATTCTATCATGTCTTTCTGAGTCTTAGTTTCTAACCTGTGAAATACGGGTAATAACAGCACTGATCTCACAAAGTTATCCTGAGAATCAGATGAGATAATATGCATAAAGCACTTTGCAAATTTCATAAATGTCAACTTTTATTATTAGAAAGATATATAGATATATATGTTAGCTCATTTGACACACAACTCACAGCAACTCTGTGAGGGAGGCAGTACCAGTATTATTATACCAAATAAAAATGTAGATGAGGAAACAGAGATTAGTGGCAAAATAGAGATTTGGACCCTGTGACTTCTAATTCTAAATTAGTCTAGGTCAGCAATAACTTAGCTAGCTAAATATCAGCAAGGATTTAATCATTAGATTAATTTATTAATAATCTGATATGTATCAAGAGACTTCTGTGGGATGGTAGTGAAGGAGAAGGGTTCTTAACCTGGGGTCTGTGAACTGTATTTCAACATAGGAAGAAAGGAAACAAGCACTTATTAAGTACCTAATATATATCAGGCACTGTGCTAAGCACTTCACAAATATTATAACATTTGATCCTCGAAACAATCCTGGCAGATAGGTGCTATTATTCTCCATTTTACAGATGAGGAAATTGAGGCAGACTGAGGTTAAGTTACTTGCCCAGGTTCACACACCTATTAAGTATCTGAGGCTAAATTTGAATTCAGGTCTTCTATTCCCCAAGCCCAGCAATCTAGCCGCTTCATCACCCAGCTGCCTCTAGGTAATAGATTTCCTTTGCAATCTTAGGTGTTTCATTTTATACATTTAAAAACATTGTTCTAAGAATGGGGGGCTGTAGGTTTCACCAGATTGATAGAAGGGTCCATAATAGAAAAAAAAAATTAAGAATCCTGGTCTAGGGTAAAGGACTAGGAAGGCCTAAAAAAAGACCTATAGTTATCCAATAACCCATCATTTTCTCCATCCCAACACACTTCACCAAGACATTAAGATACAGCTGCCCTTCCCCATATATACTCCTCTCAGACTGTAAGTTCTTATTTTATAACTTTTTATTTTTACCCTTTGAGCCTTTTTTTTTTCAGCTGTTCCTTTTAGCATGATTTCTTATGGCTGAAATACTGGGGAGTTGGTACACAGCTTGATTTGTCTGCTTACATTTCCCTAGGAATGTCCTACCATTGGACAGAAAGCCAAGCCTTAAAGAGATGAGACTCATTTAGAACACGGGTTCCTAGGATCATAAAATGTTAAACGCCAGAAAAGACTTTAGAGACAAACTCATCTAATCCCCTCACTTTTCAGAGAAAAGTAGACTATGTTATACACAGCTAACTATTGTCTGGGGTAGAATTTGATCTTTCTGAGTCCAGGTCTAGTACTCTAGACACTACATCATGCTTCTCTTTTTTAAAAAATCATTTTAAACTTAAGTTTGCAACAAAAACAATCAAAATCTATGTACAAAGCGGAGTATAAAATGTTGCCTCAAACCTTTAGCCTCTAACTAGGTAGAATCAAATGAATTAACAAGGAAACAAGAAGTTACTTTTGTTCCGAATCCTCTTCTAGGCCTGCCAAAGTTTGGCTACAACTGGATATGTTTTCTTTCCTTTTTTCTTTCTTTTAAAAAAACACACACATGGTCATCATGGCTACAGTTATGGTTCTGCTGATTTTGTAGGGCATTACATTATTTATGTCTTTCCTTATATGGTTCATAAGATTAGATTATGAGCTATTAATTAAATTATAAGCGCTTTGAAGGCAGGGACTACCTTTTGCCTCTTTTTGTATCCCCAGTGTTTACTTAATACATAGTATTAATAAATAAGGTTTAATAAATGTTTATTGATTGATTGATAATCCAATATGCCAGTATTCCAGAGGTGTAATCAAAATCATATAATATTCCATGAAGCATCTCTTTGTCTCTCTATTTCTGGTCCACATATTCTTTCCTATTGCTTCCAGAGAGTGAAGATCCCAATTTACTCACAGCTCTCACATCATGAAATAAATCAGGTACTAGCACTAATCTCCATGGGATTGAGAGTTTGAACCATGGAGACCTTGGAGCTAGGATTCTCAGCAGGATGGTACACCTGACAGGAAGGCTGGAAGAAACCAAGGAACCAGAACTGAGGCCCAATGGGGATTTTGCACTTGGAATTGGGACATAGGAATGGAGCTAAACTATGAACCTAATCTCCTTCCCCTCCCCAAAGACTGAGGTAGTGCAAGGGGAAGGAGGACTATGTCTCCCATGTGTTGGAGGAGTATGTTTGTATATTTGTTTAATATATTTTGAAGTAAATATTACTTTGCAAAAACTACTTGGACAATTAGTAGCTAAATGGAACTAGAGTGCAGGGAACCCTGACAAAGGGTGGACTGACTTTCCAGCTCCGTGGCCAGACATTCTGTATAGGTGAGAATTGTTCTAGCACATAGGTCATTGAACAATCACTTATCTTCACTGCCACCATCCTGGAAGACTATGACACATCTCTGCCTTTCTCTGCAGCCTCATCCCTTACCCTCTCCCAGCTATTGCTTTGGACTAAAAAAAAAAAAAAAAAAAAAAAAGTGCCAGGCCCTATGCTATATTCTAGGGATACAAAGAAAGCCCAAAAAGAAAAAAGTCCCTGCTTTCAAGAAGTTTACAGGGATTGTCTTTTGGAATTGCATAGTTCTTTTCATAAACTCAAGCTTCTCCTGAAACAAAGACCTATTTTTAACCCATTATTAAGAACAATATTCTTTCAATGATATTTTATGAATTGAAGATATAGAATAATATGGTCTGTGAAGAATTAAAATGGAGAATGACCCAAAGGACAGTGGAAAATTACTTGGAGGCTTGAGTTAGCATACACATGAGAATTTATGAAGGAGAAGCAATATAACAAATATCAACAGAAAAATGTATGCCCAAAGAAAAAGATGAGTCAGTCATGCAATGAGAGTGAGGGGACACTGATGGACAGCCCTAGGACTCTGCTGGTCTTCACAACATATGAGATAAAAATGTATATGTATGTGTGTGTGTTTATATATGCATACATTTTTATATATACATACATACAAACACATACAATTAAGAGAGAATGGATTTATTGGAGCAGAAGTATCAACTTTACGGAGCCCACAACACTAGATTAAAATGTAATTGGGAAATACTGAGCAAAATAAATAAAAATACAGTAACA